TTTCTCCTTGGAGTTCTCTCTCGTGTGCGATGCTAGCGATGTCGCTATCTCCGCCGTTCTCCATCAAAGGAACGGCGAGAGTTAAGCGCCGATTGCCTACTCCAGCCGTTTGTTGTCGGCAGCGGAGTGAAGATACTCTGTTTATGAGAGAATGTCTGGCTGCCCTTTAGGGTGTGAGAATTATAGGAATTATTTGGAGCATAAGGAGTTCGCCCTCTTAATGGACAACCAAGCCTTGGCCTGGCTTTTGCGCCATGCGAAGGAATTAGGCCGAGTTGGGCGTTGGGTCCTCTGGTTGGTGCCATTTAAATTTCGCGTCAGTCATATAAGTGGCAAAGCGAATGTTGAGGCGGACTGCCCTACTCGGCAGTATGAGCAGCCTACGGAAGAGGCGACGTTCTCAGGCTTAGTTCTTGGACAGCTTCCGGAAGCCTTTCAATCTATTACCGAGCACCAAAAGAAGGATTCCCTTTGTAGGAGTGACTGTAATAAGTTGACCCAAGGGGACCCAACGTTGAAGCAGTTCAAGTTACTGAATGGCGCGTTGGTATATCATATGTCGCCAGCGCGGGCTAAACGTTACCCTCTCCTGGAAGCACTGGGACCGATGATCTTGGAATATTTTCATAGTTCCTGCCTGAGCGCCCATTTTGGGGTGACCAAAAACTTGTATCATATTGCCAAGGTATTCTACTGGCCTGATATGAGGAGGGAAGTGTGCGCCTTCGTACGAAGATGCCAAGATTGTCAGCGGGCTAAGCCAGCCCCTGACTCTCGGTTTGGCCTCCACAGTAGAGGTAGTGTCGCACCCCATGGAACGAGTCTTCATTGACTTTGTCAGGCCTATTATTAGAAGCCGAAAAGGGAATATCGCAATCTTAGTAGTTCTCAATGGGTTCTTCAAGTTCGTGAGCATGTATCCCGTCCGTCGCATTTCCGCAGAAGTGATTAAAACCTGCCTGGTGGAAAATTGTTTTGCATCCTTCGGGGTTCCTCAGTCCATTGTTTCGGACAATGCGGCCGTTTTCAAATCGAAAACGTTTTCTGATTTGTGTTTCTCCTGGGGAATTCGGCACATTACCACCTCGCCGTATTACCCCAAGGCCTCCCAAGTTGAGCGTTTCAATCGAAACTTGAAGGTGCTTTGGCCATCCACCATCACCCGCAGCACATTTACTGGGATGACCACCTTGCATTCAACTCAGCATGGCGCAAGTCGACTGCAGCTACTCATGCCTCCCTATTCCTGGGTAGGGATCTGAACCATCCCCTAGGGCTGAAATGGGAATTGGCCGAATTAAACTTAGGTAAGTATGCGAAAAACATTAATCAATTCTGGGAATCCATGTTAAACAATTTAAAAAGGGCTCGCGCCTGGGTGGCAGAGATACAATAAGGGCCGGAGGCAGGCGGAGTTTCGGGTGGGCGACTTAGTCCTGTTGAGGTTGCACCCGCTTAGCTCAAGGTCACAGCAGCGCTCCGCCAAATTGGATCTTAAGTGGTCAGTACCACTGAAAATAGCAAGGTTTATTTCTCCTGTAACTGTATTATTGGCGAACCCCGATATGGGGTTATTATTCGCAGAGCACATGTATCGCAGTTGAAGAGGCATTTTTCGCTGGAATGATGGTACCTTTGTTATATATATATATATGTGTGGCCTGTGTCTGATGTATAGCACGTAAGTGTTGGGCTGCATGGCCTGAGCAAGGCAATGTTGATATGTTTGTAAGTCTGGTTTTCCTTCCGAGCAGGGGATATGCCTTCTCCCCACGCCCCTTCCCTAGGCTGCGTGAGAGTTGAGATGCGACGGAGAACCCCCTCCCCCCAGCATCCGGGTTCAGTCAGCAGAAGTGCTGCCCCGTTGGAGCCCTGTCGCCATGCTAATCTTGGATTCGTCCGTCCCTGTGCTGCGATTCCTAGGGGCCCCTTGTATGGACTGCGGCAGAAGGGCCGAGAAACATAATACATCTCTTGTCAGCCATGGATGACAACCAACAAAGTTGGCGGGCATGGGGTAGTTGTGCCAAGTACGGGCCAGACGTGGACGCTGGACTCAGGTGAAGTATGTGGGCAAATGATACCCTGGTGCGACGAACGGTGCATGAAGTGAGTGAGCAACCCATGGAGCTAAGGGTGATCGTGGACCCGGGTGAGCAGCGGTACAGTTCCTGTCGAGCTGTAGGTTTCGAACCTGTCAGGCTGTAGTTTCTAACCTGAGCGGCGGATGTGCTATGTTACTCGGAGACTGTAGACCCTCTTGTATTTCTTGGTAGCAGACATTCGTGGAATGATAGAAGAAAGAGGGAGGGGGGAGATATTGAGCCGTGGTAAAGCAATGCATCCTTCCGTGACGCCGTGGCTTCCAGACATATCTCCCATGTTACCCTTCTTCTGAGGTCCTAGGGCTTACCCCCTCCTCTTCCCCAATACCACGTGATTTCCTCTCCATTTCTACCCCTCTGTCTCGGAAAGAAGTATGTTTGGGAGCAGAGGAGTTAGTCTGATAAGTGGATCCACTTGGACTAGGACTTCTGGCGGACCAGCGGGAGAAATTTCTAATTTCAGTTCAGCGGAGTTTTTCTAAATCTGGTTTCTGCGTAGTCGGGAGCTGGCCGCAGACGTCAGGGTTACTTACAATCGCCAGCTATCAGGGAATAGGTATGGCGGCGATACGCAAGTGGTTTAGTTAACATTTTTACGTATATATTTTCTTTGGGGCCGCCTTTGGCTGACTTGTTTAGTTTTATATATATATATAGTAGATCAGAGGCAAGTGCTGAAAATTTGGGAAACGTATGTTACAGAACTATGTGATCGACCTAATCGGCCAGAAACCTTAGAAGTTGAACCGGAAGAAGTAGATACAGACGGGAAAGGACCATATATTTTACAAAGTGAGGTTGAAAAAGCTATCAAGGAAATGAGGAAGGGAAAGGCTACAGGAGATGATGATGTACCTGGAGATGTGCTCAAGTTACTGGGAGAAGGTGGTTTGAAAACACTGACAAAACTAATGAACACCATATATGAAAGTGGAGAGTGACCCAAGGACTTTACAGCAGTTACAATGATTGCCTTAAAGAAAAAGACAAAAGCTACAAAATGCAGCGACCATCGCACAATAAGTCTTATTGCACATACAGCAAAGATAATTAAAAGAAGAATTGAAAGGAAAATAGAGGATATACTTGGAGAAGATCAGTTTGGATTTAGAAGAGGAAAAGGAACCAGGGAAGCAATTGGGGTGATGAGAATTATAGCGGAACGAACTTTGGAGATAGATGAAGAACTGTGTGTTTGCTTCATAGACTGGCAGAAGGCATTTGACCGTGTAAATTGGACAAAATTAATGCAGATCCTAAAGGAAACAGGTATCGATTGGCGTGAAAGAAGATTGATTAGCAAATTGTACATGGATCAGAAAGTTAGAGTACGACTGGACAGAGGGGGAACAGGAAGTGTGCAGATTGGAAGAGGAGTTCAACAAGGATGCTGTATATCACCAATCTGTTCAACTCGTACAGCGAATGCCTTACCAAGGAAGCTCTGGATGGGCTTGGAGACTTTAGGGTAGGAGAGCAAATTATTCAAACTGTGAAATATGCAGATGACCTTGTGTTAATGGCTAAGGAAGAAACTGTGCTACAGGGCATGATTGATAGACTAATTGAAATTGGAAGGTGCTATGGCATGGAAATGAATGTGGAAAAAACAAAAGTAATGAAAATTTCGAGACAATCAACCCCAGTCACAATAAAGATAGACCAAAAACAACTGGAGAATGTAAAATGTTTTAATTATTTGGGTAGCTTGTTAACAGATGATGGAACGTGTACTAGTGAAATTAAATCCAGGATTGCCATGGCAAAAGCTGCATTTAGCAAGAAGAAGAATTTTTAGCAGCAAATTAGACTTAAATTTGAGGAAGAAACTAGTGAAATGCTGCATTTGGAGCATAGCTCTGTATGGGGCTGAAACATGGACACTTAGGGCAGTAGATCAGAAACATCTGGAAAGTTTTGAAATGTGGTGTT